GACTATGAGATAAGCTTTTGGCATTGCATTTTTTTTTTTTTTTTTTTGAGACTGAGTTTCGCTCTCGTTACCCAGGCTAGAGTGCAATGGCGTAATCTCGGCTCACCGCAACCTTCGTCTCCTGGGTTCAGGCAATTCTCCTGCCTCAGCCTCCTGAGTAGCTGGGACTACAGGCACGCGCCACCATGCCCAGCTAATTTTTGTATTTTTAGTAGAGATGGGGTTTCACCATGTTGACCAGGATGGTCTGGATCTCTTGACCTCGTGATCCACCCGTCTCAGCCTCCCAAAGTGCTGGGATTACAGGCTTGAGCCACCGCATCCGGCCTAAATTTTTTTTTTTTTTTAAAGATGGGGTTTCACCATGATGGCCAGGCTGGTCTTGAACTCCTGACCTCAGGTGATCCACCCACCTCGGCCTCCCAAAGTGCTAGGATTATAAGCGTGAGCCACTGTGCCCGGCCGAAATCCCGTCTTTAAAAAAAAAAAAAAAGAAAGAAAGAAAGAAACTGGGCAAAGAATAGCTATTGATTGTCTGTCAGCTGAACAGTTCTCAGAGTTCGCACAGAGCTGGCATGGGTTCAAGTTCTGATACGCTAAAGCAGAGTGACTTCATTGGACACCTGGGGCATTCAGGAGCAAGCCCAAAAAGGTCACTAATAGCTACTGGAGACCTGCTCTAAGAAAGTTCAAAACAAGTCTTGAAAGGATCAAGTTTATCTGTAAGTAAATTAAATGTTTGCCAGAGGAAGGCCTACCACTGTTGAACAGAAAATTAAAAATTCAGACATTTAACAATGTAAAACTCACAATGTCCAGTACCTAAGGAAGTTTTACTAGATATGTGACAAAGCAGAAAAATGGGACCCCTAACCAGGAGTAAAATTAGTAAATTCAAAGAGACCAAGAAATGACAGAGATAAAATTAGCAAGCAAGGAATTTTAAACGCCTGTCAGAAAATGCTCAAATATGGCCGGGTGCAGTGGCTCATGCCTGTAATCCCAGCACTTTGGAGGGCCGAGGCAGGTGGATTATGAGGTCAGGAGTTCAAGACCAGCCTGACCAGCATGGTGAAACCCCATCTCTACTAAAAATACAAAAATTAGCTGGGCATGGTGGTGCATGCCTGTAATCCCAGCTACTCAGGAGGCTGAGGCAGAGAATTGCTTGAATCCAGGAGGCGGAGTTTGCAGTGAGCCAAGATCGTCACTGCACTCCAGCTTGGGCAACAGAATGAGACTCTGTCTAAAAAGAAAAGAAAAGAAGGCCGGGCGCGGTGGCTCAAGCCTGTAATCCCAGCACTTTGGGAGGCCGAGGCGGGTGGATCACGAGGTCAAGAGATCGAGACCATCCTGGTCAACATGGTGAAACCCCGTCTCTACTAAAAATACAAAAAATCAGCTGGGCATGGTGGCGCGTGCCTGTAGTCCCAGCTACTCAGGAGGCTGAGGCAGGGGAATTGCCTGAACCCAGGAGGTGGAGGTTGCGGTGAGCCGAGATCGCGCCATTGCACTCCAGCCTGGGTAACAAGAGTGAAACTCCGTCTCAAAAAAAAAAAAAAGAAAAGAAAAGAAAAATTAACTGAATGGGATTAAGAACAAGATTACACACTGCAGAAGGAAAGATCAGACAACTTGAAAGCATGACAATAGAAACTATTTAAAATGAAGCATAGATTAAAAAAAACAAACAAACCCAGAGCTTTAGTAATCTGTGAGACAATACCAAGCAATATGACATGTGTCTAATTCCAAGAAAGGGGACAGAAAATATTTAAAGAAAATGGCCAAAATTTTCCAGACTCATAATGAAATTATAAAATAAAAATTATCAACCCTCAGATCCAAGAACCTCAATGAATATAATGAACACCAAAAAAAAAAAAAAACTATGCAAAAGACTATCATATCTACACTTTAAAAAATCAATTAGATAAAAAGCAGACTTAAAAACAGTCAGAGATGGCCAGGCACAGTGGTTCATGCCTCTAATCCCAGCACTTTGGGAGGGTGAGGTAGGTGTATTGCTTGAGCTCATGAGTTTCAGACCAGCCTGGGCAACATGGCAAAATCCCATCTCTACAAAAAATACAAAAATTATACAGGCATGGTGGCATGCACCTGTAGTCCCAGCTACTTGGGAGGCAGAGCAGGATGGCTTGAGCCCAGGAGATGAAGATCGCAGTGAGTTGAAATTGTGCCAAGGTATTCCGGCCTAGGTGACAAAACCAGACCGTGTCTCAAAGAAAACAGAACAAGAAAAAAAAGGAGAGAGAGAGAAAAAGGACGAGAATTATTACAAACTGATTTTCAGAAGTTATGCAAGACAAAAGACCAGAGAATGGCATCTTTAACATTTTAAAAGAAAAATTTTAAATGGGTTTCATCAAAAGTAAAAACTTTTGTGTCTCAAAGGACACCATCAAGAGAGTGAAAAGGCAACCTACAGCGTGGGAGAAAATATTTGCATATTATATCTTATAAGAGTCTAATATATACAATTTTTATTTTTAAAAAACATTAATAGTTCAACAATAAAAAGACAAATAATCAAATTTTAAAGGAGAAAATGATCATAATAGATATTACTTCAAAGACATACAAATGACCGATAAGCATGTGAAAAAATGTTCAACATCATTAGTCATTAGGAAAATGCAAATCAAAACCACAATGAGATACCAATTCACACATCCACTAGGATGGCTATAATAAAAAAAAAAATGACACCATGTGTTAATGGGAACTTAATAAATCAGCAGGGAAAGGATAGACTGTTTAGGAGATAGTGTTAGGAAATCTGACCCATAATATGGAGGAAAAATCAAGCTCATAAAAAATAGATTCCAATTGGATCCAAGAACCAAAATCTGAATGGGAAAAACTATAAAAGTAATAGAAGAAAATATAAAAGACTACATTTTTTATCCAGGGAGAAGAATACTTTCAGATCTAAAAGGCACAAAATTTCAGAGGAAAAAATTCTGAAGAGTTGGCTATACCAAAATTTAGGATGTCTTCCAACTAAAGTTCACAATAGATAAAGTTGCCATAAAAAGCAGAGAGTTCTCAAAAACAAACAAACAAACAAACAAACCCTGCAATGTCTACACCCTACAAGGCATTAATACCTAGAAATACAAACAATTCCTGCAAATCAGGAAGGAAAAGAAAGGAAACCCAATTGAAAAATGGGCAACAGGTATGAACAAGCAATTTGACAAAGGGGAACTACAAATGGCCAACAGATATATGAAATGATGCTCAAACTTACTGTAATCAGGGAACTGTAAGTAAACCATCTACAGTAGATCACTTTACAACCATCAGATTGGCAAAGTTAGAAAAACAAATAACACCAAGTGTTGGTGATAGGAACATTCATGGGAAAACATGAACATTCTTCATTCCTATTCTGTTGATAGAGGTGAAACCTGAAGCAGCCATTCAGAAAAAGAATTACCAGGCATCATTCAGTGAAACTAAATGTGCATATGTTCTATGACCCAGCAATCCTCCTCCCAGAATACATCCCAGAAAAATCTTGAGTCAAGTCCAGTGGGTACATGCATGAGGATGTTTAACACAGTGTTTTGATGATAACGGGAATTTTGAAGCAAGCTGGGGATCCACAGGAAGGGATAACAGATCAATGTGCATGATGATATTTTAAACCACAACTTTTACATACAGCCACCTGGATATATCCTACAAACATACCATCAAGTGAAAAATAAAAAACCCATCATTAATTCAACATCACAACATCTATGTTAATTTAAAACACGATGGGCAACCACTCCATTACGAAAGATACTGAGGTGCCAAAGGACTTGCGTGGAACAGGTTGGAACTGATATAAGAGGCAGGAGGAACCAGGCAGCTAAGATGGGATGGGGCGGGAACCTTGAATAAATGGAGGGTTTTTAATGGACTGATGCTCATAGTGTGTCTTAAACAAAGGCCTATAGTTAATTCTACTCTTTGCCCCTGAGGTCTAACTTTTTTTTTAACAGACAGGGTCTTGCTCTGTCTTCCAGGCTCACTACAACCTCAATGTGTCAGGTTCAAGTAATCCTCCTGCCTCAGCCTCCCAAGTAGCTGGGACCACAGGTGTGTGCCACCATGCCCAGCTAATTTTAGAAAAAACTGTAGAGATTGGATCTCACTATATTGCCCAGGCTGGTCTCAAACTCCTGGCTTCAAGCAAGCCTCCCAAAGTGGCTGGGGTTACAGGCATGCAGCACCACACCCAGCCCCAAGGTCTAATTTTTTTTTTTTTTTCAGTTAACCCACAGGATTTGATCATTACAGGAGGAAAAAAATGATATTAAATGCTTCTATCAAATACTTTTTCTCCATCTATTGATGATAATGCTTTTTCTACAACAGATGTAGAAAAAGCATTTGATAAAAGTCAATTCCTCTCCATGATTTAAAAAACAATTCAAATCAAGATAGAAGAGAATTTTTTTTTTTTTTTTTTGAG